CACGGCCAACACCAGTGACGATTATCTGAACCGGTCCTGGGCCTCCCCTAGGTCGACTCAGCCTGAAATGAGTACCTGGTGTGGTGTGTAAACATCGCCACTAGGGAGACAAAGGCGGTCGGGCGTGGTGCTGGCCACCCACCCCCTCGTGTACCGTTGCGGCCTTCATAGGTGCTCGCTAACAGCACTTGCCCCTACAGTCTGTCAAGGCTACACGGGGGATCTTTGTCTTTGTAGCGGTTAGTGCGCTGCGCTATTAACCTGGCCACTCGAGTTCGATTCCCGCTCACGGCCAACACCAATGACCGGTCCTGGGCCTCCCCTAGGTCGACTCGGCCTCAAATGATTACCTGGTGCGATGTGTAAACATCGCCACTAGGGAGACAAAGGCGGTTGGGCGTGGTGTTGGCCACCCACCCCCTCGTGTGCCGTGCTGGCCTTTACAGGTGCTCGCTAACAACACTTGCCCCTACAGTCTGTTAAGGCTGTACAGGGGATCTCTGTCTTGTCGGTGTGATATACAGGATATGGTAGTTGTAGCGGTTAGCAAGTTCGATTCCCGCTCATGGCCAACGCCGGTGACGATTATTTGAACCGGCTCTGGGCCGAAGATCGACTCGGCACTTTAAAAAGAAATCTACGCTGGTGCGATTGGTAAACGTCAGTGATGGAGTGATAAAGACGGTCGGGTGTGGTGCTGGCCATACCATCATATCGTGCTCGTGAATGGCACGAAAAGCCTCTTGAAGTCTACACGGGGATTATATTCATGGAACCCCTCGATAGATTCCCCAAACAGGTCGACAATAAGGTCGACTCAGCGGGTCGTGGGAGTCATTTGACCACGCATCACCACGCTGGTCAAATCATTATGGTGGTGGTTACCCGTTTTTCTTTACCGGGGAAAGCCTCGCAAAGTTTCGGAACTCTTTTTCAAAGAGGGTCCTTGCTTCATTTGAGTCGTTAGGATTCGCTCTGGATAGATTTAAGGCTCCATTGCTTGTACTGCCATGTGTCGGGCACTTTATAGCGCAAGCCTCTTACGACAGCACTTGGTACAATACCCGGCGTTCGTCAGCACTCGTCGCCAGCTCGGCTTCCCAGTGTCGCGCAGACTCGGGTGTGATCTAGACGCAGGCTGAGAGGTTGACCCCATTCGTCCCAGTGAAATCTCACCATCTTCGTCAACAGCATTGCTCTGAAAGGAAACATTATATTTTAGCAGGTGACTTTCCGGCCATTGCGAGGAGAGCAGAGATTGCGTGAATCATTTGTCCGCCAGAGTAAACCTGATTGTAAGTTCGTTATATTGGTTAGAATGGTCAGTGGGCGTTGTTCGGAGGCAGCAGAGAGCGTTCAATATGGCTGAACGATTCGGGGAAAAATATCTAATTGCGATTTTTCTGACATTGCGATTTGATTTGCGATAACATTTTAAAGTCAAGCTTCAGTTCAATATTCACTGTGTAATAGATTTAAAACATGTGATGGAGCTTAACTTAAAGCTTTCGTGACTGCAGGAATTCATATTCTTCGGTCTTTCGGTAAAGTCACGTAGATAGGTTCAAAGAAAATAACAAAAAATATTTGTTTGTAATTTTTTTGTTATTTCCTTTGAACCTATCTACGTGAATCTTGATTTGAAGCTTTTGTGACTGCAGTAATCCATACTCTTTGGTTCTTTCGGTAAAGTCACGCAGATGGAAAATTGATAGATGATGACGTTTCGATCGCAACACAAACAACCGTCATCGGGTGAAACAAACACAGCAGGAGTCAGCTGATGTCAGCTGACGTCAGCAGTTTTCCTGCTGTGTTTGTGTCACCTGATGACGGTTGCTTGTGTTGCGATCGAAATGTCGTGATCTATTAATTTTCTATCTTTCTATGTGACTTTACCGAAGGACCCAAGAATATGTCATGGAGCATCACCACCATGATACCATCAAAATATAAACTGCTCTATATATTCTAATGTAAGGATGTGAACTTAAAATGTATAAATTGCTTCCAACATGTATTTATTAAAATGTTTTAATTGAAATAGAACAATCAAACATAAAACAATTGTTAAGTTAAATAAATAAAGTTATAATAATAAAAATAAACAATTCTAATAAGAAAGTAACAAGACTTTTCAAATCGAAAAAATCGCAGCCTTTCCGATTTGCTAATCGCATTGTTTTAAATTGCGATTTCGATTTGAAATCGATTAATCGTTCAGCCCGAGCGTACAAGGGGATGAGTTAAACTCCCGGGCCATCCCGAAGCAAGGAACTCTCCGATCCGACTGTAGGATGAAGAGAGTCGCTGACTCTGATGATCCAGTGACAAATACATCCTCGCAACCAGTTCTCAGCCACTGTTACACATACCAAAGACAAAGTTCCCCCGTGTAGCCTTCGGATACTGTTGGGACAAGTGCTGTTAACGAGAACCAATTAAGGCCTGCGCGCGTTGGCGTGCGAGTGACTTGTGCCACGCCCGCCTGCTGCACGTGTCTCTCCAATGCTGGTGTTTGCACATCGCAACAGATATGCATTTAGGGCCGAGTCGACCCAGGCGAGGCCCGGGAATGGTTCAGATTATATATAATTGCCTCTGATGGTATAAGTGGCTGGCAGTCGATCTCATTTGTGAAGGGTTTGTGGCGAAGGGGGGCTAACTGTTGCGCCACCGCTCCCCACTCTATAACGCTAATAGACCAAATTAAATCCGGTTTATAGTGAATCATACGCACAGCATAAACTGACGGCATAACACACGTCTTAAAGATGTGCGTAAAAGAGGAATGAATAAGTTGCATGCCATTACCAATTCACTGCTGAGTAAATGCTCCATCCATCTTGCTCCGTCGGCCATGGTGGCTCGTTTGACCATACTTCACCGCGCAGGTCAGTGCGGCTCAGATACCACTCGTCACTGATGTCAGCCGTGACCGAGAATCGAACTCTCAGCTCGCCGGTTTCGTCGTGCAACGCGCTACCCGCTACGTCTCCGCTTGATCGCACAACAATAATCCCGCAGAGCAAATCAAATCGGGGGGGGGGGGGGGTCTGTCGTTAATAGCCTGGACACACGGCACGAGTACAACAGCGTATAGATGTAAATAGACTTCGGAATGACAGGAGGGGAGAGTGGGGGGCCAGGCTTCGGATGGTCTGTGTCTGACAACCGAATCACCCCCCCCCATAACCCATAAATCCCCCCACCCCCCCACTGGGTTCCTCCATCCATCATCTCCCTCCTATCACCTCGTGTCCTCAGCGCTATGTCCGAGTGTGTGATGGTATCATCATCATCATCGCACGCTGAAATGATTACCCGCTCACGCACGCGTGTGTTATTTGGGCAATGGTGGTAGCGGTTCGTGCGTTGCGCTACCAACCACGGCTAACAACAGGTGACGATTATCTGAACCGGTCCTGGGCCTCCCCTAGGTCGACACAGGACTCAACATGACTACCTCGTGTGGTGCGTAAACATCGCCACTAGGGTAACAAAGGCGGCCGGGCGTGGTGCTGGCCACCCACTCACCGCGTGTGCCGTGCCGGCCTTAATAGGTGCTCACTAACAGCACTTACCCCAACAGTCTGTTAAGACTACACGGGGGATCTTTGTCTCTGTGTGTTATTTGGGCCTGGTTTATGAATACATTGTTTTCATTTCCTAAGCGTAATGACAATTGACCCCCCCCACCCCATCCAGCTATTCTTGTTCAACTTTCTCATTGTTAGTACCGTAATGCAGGCGACTGCCGAGTATAAGTATTTAGCCCTTGGTCAATCCACTGCTGGATGAGTGATTTGATGCCCGTGTGGGGTACGGGGGGCGGCGGATGTATAACATGAGTGGCTGCAAGTTTAATGTAAAAAAAAACGTATTATTAAAGAAACAATAGTTTGTCATTTGCAACTTTATAGGCATAAACCACGAAATGATTTTGTCTTCAATTCACACTTAGAGAGTGTGCCCGTAGTTCGGCTTTGGAGCATCGCTATGGGACTCCAGTGACGTCGTCCCAGTGTTCCTCGGCACGGGGTTTAAAAGCCGACTTTGTGAGCGCCACGGTGGCTAGGAGATGTTAACTACCTCGCCCGGTATACAGGAGGTCGTCGGTTCGATCCGGATCCTGACAATGCCTGCTGAATATTTCAAGTTTGCGGTGTCTCTCAACCCCGTGGTCGCGTGGATTTTTTTCCCTTCCACATTCAGAATCAGAATGCGTTTAGAGTATTTGGCAGTTCTATATTTCCTCTTCACGTTGAGCCATCATTTGTGGCCAGGTCGCTTCTGAAAAGAGAGCTAGCTATAAAGCTCAGTGGGCTTTACCTGGTTAAATAAAAAGTTGCGTTTATTTTATGTACCCCCACGGTCGTGCTCCTAACCACCATGATTTTTAAAGCCTTTTATTGTTTTAATGAACGACGCTTTAAAACTCGTGGGTAAACACTGGCCTCTTAACCTATATAATCCGAGCTGTTTGTTTTTTATTGTCGCGTGTCCCTTTAAGTCCTCCACATGTACGTGTCCCTTTAAGAGGGGTGCACGTGTACAATTATTAATGTACAAGTTACATTCACCTTGTAGCCCGATAAAGGTATGGCGACAGAACAGAGTTACAATAATGGCAACAATGATGCTGTTATTGTTTTGATGAACAAGAGTAGTGGCGTGAATAATACGATAATGATAACGGCGGCGACGATGGTAATGATGATAATACGCTGCCTATGATTACGACGATTCTTCAGAACTTAATTTCACACGGGATACTTTTTGGGTCCCCAAATCCCCTGAACCCCCGAACCCCACCACCCCTCGAACTCAGCCCCTGACAGCTTCTGCTGCAACGAAACCCTGATGATGCCAGTGACACAGCTGGTAGCACCTTCGATATGCTCCCTACCAACTCACATTCTCTCTAACCATGTCCTCTATCTCTCCCCACTCGTCTTTTCTTCCCCATTTGGATCCCCCCCCCGCCCTCACCCCTGCAGGACGCTTCATCTCCGCGGTGCCGGGTAATGCTCGCTGGCTCCAGCGCCGCGCCGGAGCGGCTGAGCGCGGCTCGGCGCACGTGAGATGCGCGGCCCGGCGCGCGCGCTCCCGCACGCCAGGAGGACCAAGCGGCGGCGCCTGCAGCTCGCGGCGGCCGCCACCGCCACCGCCATGATGATGATGAACGCGGCGGTCGGCGACACCGCCGGGGCCTCCGCGCCGGCGCCCCTGGCCGCGGTGCCGCTCCCGCCCGGGGTGGCCGAGAGGGACGTCGACGCGGAGAGCTCGGCCGTGCTGCGCACGCTTCTGCGCGGGGACGGCCGCGGAGGGCGGCACTTCCACGATGACTGCTCGGCGTACGGGGCCCACCTGGCGCACCTGAAGGCGGCGGCGGCCGCTCGCCGGGCCGTCGGAGTCGAGAACGGTGACGGCGGCAACGGCGATGGAGGGGCGGCCGAGAGGAGGGCGGACGCGGCGTTCGCCGGGGCCGACGATTTTGCGCGACGGCCGGTCCCGTCGTCGTCGTCCCCCCCACCTTGCGCGTCCCCCTCGGACAGAGACCGCTCCCCACCGGCCCACGGGGCCCAGCCGCCGGGGGCCTTCGCGGAGCCGGGCAGCCGCACGTACGACGAGAGGCTGCACCAGGTGAAGAGGGCGCGCGTGGAGAACATCATCCGCGGCATCAGCGTGTCGCCCGGCGCCGCGCTCAGGGACCGGGACGTGGCGGGGGCCGCACGGCAGCCCCCCCAAGAGTGGGAGGTCGGGGCGGGCGACGCGGCCGGGGGTGGCGTCTCGTCGATGGAGCAGGATGAGGAGGAGGCCTCGGGGCAGCTGAGCCCGCACGATGGACAGCAGCGGGAGAATAAGCGCAAGCAGAGGCTGCCTCAGCAGCAGCAGGTTCAGCAGCAGCAGCAGCAGCTTGAGCAGGCCCAACAGCAGCAAAAGCTGGAAGAGCGCCGGCGGCTGAAACAGCAGCTGGAGCAGCTTCAGAAGCAGCTGCGGCACCTGCAGGAGCGCTTCCTGCAGGTGTACAACCACAGCAGCGAGTCGGACAATGAGGAGGAGGAGGAGGAGAACGGCGACGTGGACACGTCCGACGAGGGCGTGTCGTCGGACGTGTGCGAGTCGGCGCGCCGCTTCTCGGTGGACACCACGTGCCACGCCGGCGGGCAGCTCAACCGCACTCGCACGCTGGTGCCCGTGCAGGGTGTCGTGCGCGAGAGCGACCGCAAGGGGCCCGGCGAGGCCGGCAAGGGGCACGTGCCCGAGGGTGGCGCCGGCGGCGGCGGCCGGGGCTGGCAGCTGGAGGACGGCAAGGAGTTCGCCGAGACGCTGAAGAAGAAGCTCACCAACTCGGTGTCGCAGGTCGTGGACACGGTGGTGCACATGTTCGCGCCCAAGCAGCCCGCCGCCGGCGTCGGAGAGCTCGCCGGCCCGCAGAGCTGCGCGCCGCTCAAAACGCCGGTCGAGACCTCCGCCGGCCCCGGAGCCGTCGCCGCCAACGGCAACGAGCCCCCCGGCTTCCTCGAGCGCCGTGGCCTGCTGCAGCGGCTGAGCGACGCCAACACGGTGGCCGGCGCCCGCCCGGGGCTCCCGCCGCCCGCCCGCGCCGGCTCTCAGCGGCACGACGACGACGACGACGACGACGACGACGACGTGGACCAGACGGAGGCCCTCTCGCTGGTGGTGCGCAAGCTGTCGCCAGAGCGTCCCTCGACCGTCGTCGCGTACCACCACCACCAGCACCAGCAGCAGCAGCAGCACCAGCAGCACCGCGGCGAGCGGCTGCCATCCCCGGCGATCCACCACGGCGGGCACGGCTACCCGGGAGCGTCGCCGCTGCACCACCTGCCGCCGGGCTTCCCCCTGCACCACCACCACCACCCGGGGCTGAGCCTGCCCATCCTGGCCTACACGCTGGCCGGTGGACTCGACCGCGTCGGGCCGGGAGGCGCGCCGCCGCCGCCGCAGCCTCCGCCGCCCTCGTTTGCGACGTCCAAGCTCGACTCGCCGCCCCTGGAGCTGGTGGAGGGGCTGTCGCGGGAGAGCCACCTGGGGGGCGGGCGGCTACGCGGCTACCATCATCATCACCAGCAGCACCATCATCATCATCAGCAGCAGCTGCAGCAGCATCATCAGCAGCAGCAGCATCATCATCATCACCAGCAGCAGCTGCTGATGTCGCACGGGCAGAATAACGCGCCGTCGCCGGTGCTGACCACCGCGTCGGGAGACGCGCTGTCGCTCGCCATGGTCAAGTCGGAGTGCGGGGAGCAGTCGGACTCGGCAGACGTGTCGCCCTACTCGGCCACCACCATATCCTTGGATTTGGCGATGCTTGCTGACGATGCCTAGAGCGTCGAGGCTTACCGGTCTGTTTGTGTTGATGATGTGCACGTGTGTGTGTTGATGGCGTGTGTGTTGCTGATGTGCACGTGTGTGTGTGTTGATGGCGTGTGTTAATGATGTGCACGTGTGTGTGTGTGTTGATGGCGTGTGTGTGTGTGTGTGTTGCTGATGTGCACGTGTGTGTGTGTTGATGGCGTGTGTGTTGATGGCGTGTGTGTGTGTGTGTGTTGCTGATGTGCACGTGTGTGTGTGTGTGTGTTGATGAAGATGAAGCACAGGTGTGTGTGTGTGTGTTGATGGCGTGTGTGTTGATGGCGTGTGTGTGTGTTGCTGATGTGCACGTGTGTGTGTGTTGATGGCGTGTGTGTTGCTGATGTGCACGTGTGTGTGTTGATGATGTGCACGTGTGTGTGTGTGTGTTGATGAAGATGAAGCACAGGTGTGTGTGTGTGTGTTGCTGATGTGCACGTGTGTGTGTTGATGGCGTGTGTGTTGATGATGTGCACGTGTGTGTGTGTGTGTTGATGAAGATGCAGCACAAGTGTGTGTGTGTGTGTTGATGATGTGCACGTGTGTGTGTGTGTTGATGAAGATGAAGCACAAGTGTGTGTGTGTGTGTTGATGATGTGCACATGTGTGTGTGTGTGGATGAAGATGAAGCACAGGTGTGTGTGTGTGTGTTGATGGCGTGTGTGTGTGACATTTTGTGATTCCCTGTGTATAGCCTCTTGGCGTGCAAAGTGCTGGAAATTATGTGTGTGTGCGTGCATGTATGTATGTATGTGTATGCGACTTGATTCTGTGTTTCAGTTGCGTGTACATGTAATGGGTTTGTGTGTGCGGATATGGCATGCAATATGTGTGTATCGTCGCAGGCTCTGTGTGTACATGACACGTATGTGTTTCCATGTTGACAGTGTCATGTGTGTGTACACAATGGGTTTGCGCGTCTGTATGTGACGTGTAAGTGGTTCTGTGGGTGCTGTGGTTGTGGGGAGCGGGAGTGCAGCGGTTAGCGCTCCTGCACTACGAACCCGGCGACCCGAGTTCAATTCCCGCTCACGGCCAAAACCAGTGACGATTATCTGAACTGGTCTCCCCTAGGTCGACTCGGCCTCAAATGTGGCCGGGCGTGGTGCTGGCCTCCCACCGACTGCGTTTGACACTCCGGCCTTTATAGGTGCTCGCTAACGGCACCTGCCCCAACAGTCTGTTACATGCTATACGAGGGATCTTTGTCTTTGCCGCGATTGTCTAAAATATCGCGTCTTCAATTGTTAGTTGGTGAGTGCTTTATGAAGGTAGGCCGGCGTCGGTTTTCCTCGTAAGGTGGCAGTGTTGTTGACGAGCGCGTGTGTGTGGGGTTTTTAGTTAATTGCGTTTGTGCACCACTGCCAATATAGCAGCAGCATCATCATCACTAAATAATTCGTTTAATTCTAAAGCAAGGATGTGTGAGTTGCACGCAAAGTAGGGTGATGTCACGTGCAGGGCAAAGCCATGATGGTGAGGACTGATCCTCTGGTCGGAGTCGTGTTCATTAATCCCCCATCGTGTGTATTACAACTCTCACTTTCTGCTGTTCGTATACATGACACGCGTGTCGAGTCTTGGTGCAAATAAGAAAATGTTTTACCCTTTCCAGCAATAAAACAGGTGTGAACATATTAAAACACCAAACTGAAAACTTTTTTTAAGGAATCATGTCGGCATTAACCACATATACTTGTGGTGATCGTGCAAACAAAAACATGTTCTGGTGGTATATGCTGTATTGTCTTTGAAACTGATTTGTCCACACCAGATGCATATACTACCAGAAGCATGGTTTTTGTTTGCATGTTCACCACAAGTATATGTGGTTAATGCAGTGACATGGTTCATTGCAAAAGGGTTCAGTTTTGTGTCCTAACATCTTAACACAAACTGTTTTATTGCCAGAAAGGGTAAAACTTATTCTTATATTTTGATCCTGGCAAGGGAGGTCCCATGAGGTCTCCGTGCACATTGCACGTGTGTTGAGTTTTAACTCTCGTAGCTTTCTGTTGTTTAAACCAGGGGAGCACTCGAGAGGCCAGGATGAGTCTCCTTTGCAAGAGTGACCCATGGAATTAGTTTGCTGCTCTCTGTGTGTGCAATCCCAATAATAATTAGAATAATTATTTTTTTCCCGTTTCAATTTCATAATTTGCCAAATACGGAATCCAGTGCCGCCAGGAAACGGAAGAGACGCGTGGAAGTATTCCCTCTGGTTAATGCCAGGATATTCTGTCTGTAGCCTGATGAGGCTTGTTGTAATTAACGGCAAAAACGTTTTACTCGAATGGTAATTGTTGTGGGTTTACTCTCCACCACACCGGTGTGCTGAACTAGTTACTGGTTGGCACGTTTGGCTTACGTGACACATTCATATTTACGCGATCTAACCCCAAAAAATAACCTGTTGTGGATAACATTGGTTGCAAAAGCTCTACTATGTATTAAACTAATACCGCACCATCGCAGTATTAACCAGGGCGGCTGCTGGAATTGAACCGAGTCGATTCTGTGTTGGTAGCTGTGAAGCAAGCGGTTCGCCGTGCTGTGCCAGGAACGTCGATGCCCCGAGTTCGCGATTCCCGCTCACGGCCAACACCAGTGTCGATTATCTGAACCGGTCCTGGGCCTCCCTGAGGTTAACTTGGCCTCAAATGAGTACCTGGTGCGATGTGTAAACATCGCCACTGGGGAGACAAAGGCGGCCGAGCGTGGTGTTGGCCACCCACTCCCTCGTGTGCTGTGCTGGTCTTCATAGGTGCTACTCGCTAACAGCACTTGCCCCAACAGTCTGTTGAGGCTATGTGGGGGGGAACTTTGTCTTCATAACCTATGTAGTATTTGAGCTGTGATTCTGTTTGTGCGGTTTCTTGTGCATACGGCACTTTGTGTTTTTGTGATTTTGTGTATACAGAGTGTGTACTTTATGTGTGTCTGTTTTCAGAATATTTGTTCATGATTTTCAGTTATTGCTATGTGTTGGATACGACATGTTGTATTGCCATATGTGTAGCCTGGGTGTACATAACATGTGTTGTGTATCTGTTGTATGTGTGTGTGCATGATGTGTGAAATCTGCTACAAGCCGTGTATTTTGTATAGCCTGCTTGTGTATGTTTCTGTTAATTACATGTGGTTTTTCAATGTGTTTTTTCTGTCTGTATGCATGATATGTTTTTGTTTGTATAAATGCCGTATATCAGTGTGTCTGTGTAGCTTGTGTGTGTGTTTACACGATATTCGGTATTCTTATTTCACTCTTAATGTTCATGACATAGAGAGTTTGTCAATATTTTTTTTTATTTTGACCATGATCTATTTACCACAATGCACTTCTTCAGGAAATGCCGATGAATTATTTGCATCGTGCACAAACGCTGTGTGCTTTTTACGCATTTGTGTGCCCCATTTAAACACTATATTGTACGCGTGCGAGTGTACACGTGTACAGAAGCAATACGTATCATGTCTGTGTGTGTGTGTGTACGTATGTATGCGCATCTGTAGCATACTGCGTTAGGATCTCGGTGGCCTGTCTTTGAGCAATCAAATCGGGTGATTGTTATCTGCCGCCTGGGTGTGCCCTCGGGTGACTCAGCCTAAAATTAGTATCTGATATAATTTAAATTAATCAGCAATGGGGGGGGGGGGGGAGGGCTATGAAGAGGGCTGCGTATGCGAGGTACGGTGTTCCTCTTAAGCAGGCCTCAATAGGCGCTCGCTAACAACCCATGTGTGGTTACACCAGGATACAATCCAAACATCATCGCTGGTTGTCGCACTGCGCTTGGAACCTGCACGCTCTCGAGTTTGATTGCCGCTCGTGACCAATTACGCGCCTCCGATTACCATGGTTGTCAACATACGGTGCGACACAAATTCAACATCGTGCGTACATACAACACCAGTGGGACATACTTGACCTGGTCCAGGCTGTCCCCGAGATCGACTCGGTCTCAAATGAGCCACCTGCTGTGGTGTTGTAAACATCAGCGCTGAGGAGACAAAGGCGGCCGGGCGTGGTGCTGACCCACACTTTGGTAGGCGCTCGCGAACGGCACTCGACCCACCAGTCTGTTCGAGGCTATGTGGGGGGATGGCGGGTTGTTCTTTGCTTTCTGTTCACATTCTATCTGCCCACATAGCTGCGGCGCAGTTTATTAATCATTTACGTTGTTGTGTAAATCCGACGGGGATGACAAAGAGTTGCGCGCAACGGCACAAGTGCGTTGGCCAACGGCGCGCGGCACGGTCTGGCATCGACCCCGCCGGGGGGGGGGGGGGGGTGCCGCTGGCACGAGGTCCACGCGGCACGAGATCCACGCGCAGTCTTTTGCTCGCGGCCGCTTGGCGCGATCGGGAGTGGATTTCGCGAGCTTGATGGGTCGGGGGGTGCGACTTCAACTTCTGTCAAATTGTAGAAAAAAATAAGCCGGTTGCGGTGTTTTGCCAGTGTCATTAATCCCAAGATAATATCGTGGGAGGTGGGGTTGGGGGAGTTTCCCTTTTTCGTCTGGAGTTTAAATTGCGGGGGTGACTCACGAGAAAGTTTGCGATCAGAAATAAAAAAAGACGCGTCTCCCCTTTGCGAGCGTTACTAGCCGCCGGGAAGTCCTTTTGCGTGTGGTTTATGGGTGTAATATAAGATTAATTGTGCCGCGGGAATTAGGTCACCCACCGCTTTCGGGCAGCTAAAGGGCAAGTGATGGGAGCGGAGAGTGGCGGCATTGAGAGAGAGTTGCCCTGTCGAGATCCGTCAGGATTTAATTCGGTTAAAATCTCCGTCGTAAAATTCTCGCTCTGCCGAAGCCACGCGCTCGTGTGTGTGAGAGAGAAAACAATGCCCGTGGGCCAACGGCCGGGCGATACCGCTCTGGTAACCTGTACATCTTAGTTGGATTCGCTTGAGCGACGTAAATCCAAACGGCAG